ATACCGCTAAATAAGGGTATCACGTACGCTTAACCACTCTTTCGATTAAGTGTATTATCGGTAAATAAGGCGTTAGTATAGATTTTAATAGTATCGCCACCCCCTACTTCTAACGTAAACGATTAGCTATTAATTAGATAAAGGATTAGATAATCGGCGGCCTTATAGTGAATAGGCCCTGGATTAATATTAAACCGGTATAGCCTAGATACTATAAACGCGATATCAGGCCGCGATATCACTACTACGTATAGTATAGATTCTATCTTCCGTTAATAGCTTTTAACGTCCGTTAAGGTCCCTAAATAGGGTAGTAGTTCTACGATATTAATTAGGTGCGTTAGGCGATAGTTACTATTATACTTACTATTACTATTTAGCTTTAATAAGTATTCTAGCTTAGTAACGTAATCGCGTTATAATAGCTAGATTTTACGGGCGACGCGGTCGCGAATAACCTTAATACTAAGAAACTACTATAGAGGATCGCCACCTTATATGTTATAGTAGCGTTATAGGTTATTAACGGCCTACTCTATCTACGTCTTATATTATTCCTTATAAGTACTAACGATATCGTTAAGGTAGAAGAATAGGATTGAACCGCGGCGTAGAAAATAACACGGTTCCTACGGTACTATCTAGAATCCGTCCGCTAAAAGGATAGCCGAAAAGTGCTTTTGCTAAAGTAGCGGGGACTCTATATATCTATATAACGCCTTTTTTAGTTGTGAACGACTCCTAGGGGCTAAGAAGCCTAGCGGCGGATATATAAAGATATTATAGGGGAGGGGCGCGTATATAAACGCGTTTATAACGTTAAATTATAATAGCGTAAGGTTAAATCGGGCGGCGATAGCTATTAACGCGCGGAATAACCGTTTAGCTAGCGTTACTACGTATATCTCCTTAAGCGAGGATTAATACTACTAATCTCCTTATACTATAAGCCTTATCTTATATTTATATAGAAATCTATACTTATTAAACTTATATATTATTACCTATATCGAATTAGGAACTTAATATCTATCTACTACGGACGCCGGCACCCGTATCCACGACCCTATCTCCTTATAGCTCCGCAGGTAATCTTCTTATACCTATCGGAATAGGAGGTCGTAATAGTATAAGGGTATATCGCGAGGGTTCTTCGGAGGAGGAGGGAGGTCTTTACGGTGGATCTTTACGGCCGCCGGGGTAACCGCCGGAGTACCCGCCGAAGTAACCGCCGGGGTTATATTTCCTAAGATAGCCTCCCGGGGTATACTTTCGGTGGCTACCGCCGGGGCCGTGGATTTATAGGGTGTTATTAAGCATCGCTATAGCGTTATAGACGTAGACCTTTTTAACCGTAATTTAATTAGCGGAGTCCTATTTAATATATGTATCTCCGGGGCGTAACGGCTAGCGTTAAATACTATGACCTAATAATCTCTTTTCTAGCTATCTTCTTGCCGTATTAGTCGTGCTCCTTTATTTAATAAGAGCACTATAGCTACGGCTATAGGGGTATCACGGCACCGTATTCCGTTATCCTAGACTCCTACGGCCATCACCGTAAGAGTATTACGATTTCCTAATATAACGGCTACTATTAGTACTATAACTAATAGCGGGGTTACTAGTAGAGTAGGAAGTAATAAATCGGGCGGATATAAACGGTGATTAGGCGCTATACCGGCTAGATCACACTATTCGTGACCTAAATCTTATCCTGATTAGCTCGAGATAGCCTCCTCTACCCCCTTATGGCCGGGTATTACGGACTATAATCTTAACAGTAAAACCGTTAAGGAAGGGGATCCGGGGACGTTTTACCCCGGATTTAAGGGCATAAACGGTTTAAAATAAGCAGGTATATATAAGGGGGGGTCCTTAGCTTATATATCCGTAAACAGCTGTAAATCTCTAGCCCTCTCCTGCTTGATCTAACCTAATTACTCCTCGGTTAATTAACGGAGGTTATTCTTAAAGACGTCGATATCGCCGTTAAAAAAGGTATATTCGTCGAAATCTATATCGCGCGTGCGAATAACGCGGTTACGGTTACGGCGGCCTAGTATCTAGATACGGAAAATATTAGTAGAATCGTAGCCGACGAGGTAGCCGATATAGGTATAAGGACTGATACGATTTAATAGCTTATTAATGCCCTTTTATTAATGGCGTCCTTAGTTATTACGTACGCCTTATAGCCGTAGGCTCGGAGATATAATAAAATCAGCTTCCTTCTAAAGAGGACCTTATATAGCGTTTTCTAATCCGTATTCTTATACTGCCTTCGCGGCGTCCGGTTATAGACGTATACGGCCGTGGGAATAGCCTTAGGCTATATAAAAGGCGGTAGTATTACGTGGATATTCATCGTACGACCTTTCGAAATCACCACTATAGTAGCGTGTTCGGCACCCCCGTTCTACGCTTAAGTATCGGTAGCGGAGGCCTCTAAAAGGATACTCTTTTCACGTAGGAATTAGGTAATATCGTGGGATTAGGTTAGCTCGTTATTAGATTCGAAAACGCGCACCTTATAGCCTAATTAACGGTCTACCCAGGTAAGGAATTCCTTAATTATTATAAGGATATCCACTACTAGCTTACTTTTTATAATATAGGTAGCCGTAAAACCACTATACTAGTTAGTGAAAAATATAAACCTCAAGTCCCCGTCGGATATTCGGTTAAAATCAGTAAAACTAATCGCCTACCGCTCCCCTATATAGATAGGTACGGTATAAGGGCGCCTACTAATATACCGTTTAATCTTTATAAGCTCGTAGGCCTCGTAGTCGATAGTTATTAGTCCCTTAATTTTAACCCCCTGCGTCTGCTCTTCTAGGTGCCGAAGTGGTTTAGGGCCTGCGTGCCCTAGTCGTAGATACTATAAGATACCCTCCGTAGTGCTTAGATAGCGTATCGTTACTTTATAGATAGCTTTTCGGGTAGAAGAAAAGCCTAGAAAAGCAGCCGCAGAGTAGTTAGAGGGCACGTATTTAATAACGATTTAATCGAAGTGGTGACTTAGCTAGTATAGTATAGATCCATCGGCACGTTAAAGGCAGTTATTTAGTCGCTTCTAATCCTACTAGTATTCTCGTAGTCGTAACCGTTAGTTTAAAATCAAATTACAGGTAAAACCTTCGCAGTATATAATATTTAATAGTTTAAAATCAAGGCCTCCTATTAGTCCGTGTAATCTCACGGTCACGTTACCGTAACCTTTAATAGGCAGCGATAAGCTGTCTACGATTATATAGTCTCCCTGCGTGGCGGGTATAAAATCAGAAAAACGGGAAAAATCCTTAAAAATATAAATAGTAGCGCCGGAATCGAGGATAGTAGAGGTTCGAAGAGGGTAACTAGTAGTAGTACCCGTTATAAAGGTAGTAGCGTAGGAGACGCCGCTACGGACGCTACTATAATCGAGTCACGCCTGTTTAAGCTATATAGAGTCCCGGCTTATATCCTTCTTCACCTTCTTTACGGTGCGCAGTTCTTCCACTTCCGCGCGTAGAGCGGGGTCGTATTTAAGGATCCGTTAAACGGTTATTTTAGTGCTCTCGAAAGGCGTCCAGTTATTATATACCGTATCTAGGAATAGATAAAAGTAGGCGTTAATATCGTGGCTAGGTATAGCGTATACGCGGTAGATCTACCCTCTCTATAAAGTAGATTAGCGGCGTTTAGAAGAGGAATAGTTAGTTAAAGCAGTAAAAGGTATAGCTATAGATACCGTGGTAGTAGGATTCTTAGCTTTATTCTTCCCACAGCCGCCCTTCTTATAGGGCTTAGCCGTGGCCTTTAAGGTATCTTCACCCTACTCGCTTCCGGTATATAGTGCAGGGAATACTATAGCGTGGTAGTTACCACGTTTTCCTTAGTCCTTAAGTCTAGTATTAATATATTTCTGGCTAAGGGTATAAAGGTCTTCGGGTATAACTACTTAGTTATCTATAAGGCGTCCCTCGGCCTTAGTCTAATCGCGGCCGGTATAGGGGCATATACCTTTAAAGAAATCTATAACCTATATATACGTAGCGGGCTTCGAACCGGTATCTTTATAGCTTTATAGCAGTAGCTACCACTTATCCAACCACTCCCCGAGCTTCTTAAGGCTATTCGCAGGGTACCGAGTATACTCGATATACTCTTTATAGGTATCGGTTTAACGGGTGGCTAGGTACTAATCCGTATCGCGTTTAACGGCTTCGTATACCTCGCGAGGTATACCTCCTCGTAATAGTTATCTACGGCTTTAGTCGATAGTATTAACCTACTAGGTTAGTATAGCGTTAATCCCCTTTAGGTAGCTATCGTATTACGCGTATAGAATCTTCTAGCGCGCGATTTTAGGTCGTACGCCTTCTAGCCAGCGTCTATAAGGTTACGATATTATATAGGGGTACGCCTAGGCGTTATAGAGGGGAAAAAGTCGTAATTCGGTATTATAGGCTCCTCGGGGGATTAAGTCGGATCGACTAAGCGGAGAAACCGCTATACGTTATTATAGGTGGTAACCGATTCGTATAGGCGTCGCCCGAGCTCCTAATCGCGATAGGTTTTATAGGTAATAGGCTAGTATTCCGATATTTTAATAGTTATATATAGATTAACACGCTATATTAGCGTAGCTAAATAGCTTCTTAAATTAGTAGTAGTAAAGGTAAAATAAAGGGTAGGTCATTCACTTAGTAAGTAAGACTCTTTATTAGATAAAGCGTAGTCAAAATCGTTATAAAATCGGTCAAAATTAATTAAGGCAATTATATACAATTATAACTATCAAAGACCGTCAGGGAAACGCTACCACCGTATTTTATATAGTGTAGATTCTGTAGCGTCTACCCGGATTATACTCTTAGCAATCCGGCCTATTACGTAACCGAAAAGACTATAGATATCCGGAAGATTTCGGGTATTAATTTCGCCTCCTATAACTACACGTTTAGTAATACATTTTTATAACGGTTTACGGCTTTAATACAATTAATTTAGAACCTCTTAATCTAACCGTTCTTATCGTATATTTACTCTATTACCGTTACGCTGTATTTGACGGCAGCTACTATAGCCTAGTGCCGTCACGAACGTGGTGTTCGTCTACTATCGAAATGGGCGGGGAGGGGGTCTTTAGACTAGATTTCGCCCGGAAGCCAAATTGCCTCGACTAGTAAAGGCTGATGAAAACAGCCCCAATGGAGGTCTTGTCATACCTAACATATTTACCCTTTCCTTTGTCAACCTCGTGATATCGATCCCAGAAACGGGTATACAGTGGTTCCAGCATCTGTTGTATGTCTCGCGCAAACATTTGGCGAACCTCCGGCTCCATGTGGTATGACTTGTACCTGGAGACCAGGTCGTCGAAAGATGTGTTGAAAGCATGAAATTTGCCCTTGATATTATCCTTGTCCTTGCTGCTTAAACTCTTCACGACGGAAAGCGAGTCTGGCTGTCCAGAGGCAGGGCGGTGTTTGCTTGTGTGTATGACATCAAACAAATGGGCCGACACGTCCTTACACTCCGCAGTGTAGAGCGCTTTCGCTTTCTTACGCCACTGTTCTAGCGCCCCCAGCCGATCGAGAAGAAGCGGGCCGAGGTCGGAGTCGCGGATTATACGTTCGACAACAAAGACGTTGTTTGCTAGGAACACTCCAAGTACGCCTTGTCCGCCCCTAAGCATGGCTTGTGCTTTCTGATACAACGAGGACAAGAGGCTTTCGATCGTGTCCACACAATAATGTGCGAAGATTTGTTTGCCGTCGGCCCCTATGTCGAATGAGGCTAGGCTCGGAATGGCGTCCGTTGAGCGACCATTAGCGACTGAGCTTGACTTCCATCCTCCGTCACCTAACGAGATCATGATGCTGGATATGGGTCGCAAGAACTCCGCCATGGTTTGCAGTCGTTGCATGGTTTCGGACACGAGAGGCATGGAAGCTCCATCGACAGGAAGCATTTGTATATTTCCGGCCTTTCGGTTTGTGTCTTCGAGTAACTCGGCCAGCGATGTTTTCGCGGTCTCCCGGACTGGTCGTAATGCAGCCGCCAAAGACGTCTTCAGCTCGCCAGTGCGAGCCTCAAGATTGGTTGACAGATTCGACATGATTTCTGTAATTTCGTACGCCAAGTAGCAGTCCGTGTTCAGATTCGTCTTAACGTGACTGTTCAGGTCACGGAGAGCGCGGGCAAGCTCGGCTACCGCAGCGTCGCAGGTGGATCGAAATATGAGTCTCCAGTCTTCTCGGTCAAAGATACTACAGATGTTTTCGTGCTCAGCCAAGAAAAGACCCTCCATTGCCTGGGCATATGTCCCAATGCCATTAGTACCGGAGCGGTATATCGCCTCCGGATTCCTTTTCTTCGCTGTGTTCACGCTGGCGGCGGATAAATTGGCTAACGTGGAGACAAGATAAGGCCCGCGAATTTCCGAGTAGATCTTGGCAAGTGATGATGTCTGAGAGGCCGACGCACTTTCGTTATTGGTGACGTAGGCCCGGATGAGGCCCAGAGGCGTTATTGTAGCTTGGGGTAGGACGGGAAAGGGCATCCCCTTTGTGATATAGTGCAGTGGTTCGATGGAGCGAGGCGTTTCGGCACGTAAGAGTTTTTGAAAATAGCCCTGCAGCTGCGAATTGGCTGACTTGACCAAGCGGGATAAGTCGGCTTTGGTCTGCTGATTGACACGCAGATTCGAAGCTTGCATATCAACGAGGGTTTTATTTAGTCGTTTGGCTGATGCAAGGTAGCTTTGCAAACCGATCTTGTCGGGGCCAGTTCGAATAATCTGCTCTTCATCGTTTCGGCTATCGGCAGGTTGGCGAAGTCGTTCAATGGCCGCAAGGACGGAGTAAACATCTGAGACGTGGAGGCAGGGCTCTGGTTAGTACTTTTACCGTGGGGGAGGATGAGAAGGTGCATCACCAACTGTGACCAAGTGTCTGTAGCCTCCTCGTCTCGCTGTTGAGGGGACCGGCAACCTCATGCACGCTCTTCCCCGTCGCCTCAAGCTTGCCAAGGCATACTTGGATCTTCTTGGTCAATTGGGTTGTTTTCTCTAGTCGGGAATTGAGCACATCGACTTCTGCTCGCGCCTCTTCGTCGGCTAACTGCCAAGCACTAGTCAAACCTGCAGTCATGGCTGATAAATGGCAATCATCGGGTGCCTTGCATTCGGAGGTCCGCCCATGTCCTTCAATAAGGCTAGGTACGATCGAACGCAGGTAATGTCGCACAGACCTCGGGTGGAACAACCTAACGGCCGATTACACGGCAGGTGGATATCCGTAGGATTATTGTCGAACAGACCACAGTCTTTTCGGTTACGTAATAGGCCGGATTGCCAAGAGTATAATCCGGGTAGACGCTTACAGAATCTGCACTATATAAAATACGGTGGTAGCGTTTCCCTGACGGTCTGATAGAGTTATAATTATATATAATTGCCTTAATTAATTTTAATATATTTTATAACGATTTTGACTACGCTTTATCTGATAATTAAGAGTCTTACTTACTAAGTGAATTACCTACCTTTTTACCTCTACCACTACTACCGATTTAAGAATCTATCTAGCTACGCCGATATAGCGTATTAATCTATAAATAACTATTAAATTATCGGAATACTAGCCTACTACCTATAAAACCTATCGCGATTAAGAGCTTTAGCGTAGCTACTACGAAGCTATAGCCGTTAATAATAAAGTCTAGGAATATCTACACCCTAATAATCCTATTCCCGCTCCTTAAAAGCCTCCTATACCTGCCTACGGTGAATTCTAAGCGTTAAACGTAGTTATCTAAGTAGCTGCCATGCCTACGCAGCTGATAGATTTAATAGCCGGCGGTTAGCGCGTCTACGAATCTACGATATAGCGTTAGACGATATAGAGGGATAACCACAATAAATACACTAAAGGTGTTAACGCTGTATTAAAGTAGTAGACTAGTACTATTGTTAGATGCCTATAGCCACCTTATCGAGGTGTGATGAACTATATTGTGTTAGACGTATGGAGTACCTCGCTCCTATATATCTACTCTTATTTCCCCTGCTTTTTCCGTATAGTTAGATATCCCCGTAAAGTATTATTAACTTTACTTAGATAAATATATATATAATTCCGTGTACTATATTTATATTCTGATAGTTATAAGCCCGGCGTTCTAATAAACGAAGCTATTCCGATTAATCCTATAGCTTCAAGGCTATTAAATCAGCCTTAAGTCTATAGCGGGCAGTTTAGTATTATTAGTAACGTCCGCCTACTTTAGTTTTATTTAATCGTTTTATCGTTTCTATCGCACCACCGTTTAACGCGTTTAGTATAGTTAATTAACCTTTTCGTTTATCCTATTCCACTGCTTTTTATTAGTATAACGATAGCTTCCACGGTAGTAATGCCTATTATAGGCCTCGTAACGCTTACCGCTCTAAAAGACTAGAGGCCTTAGATTAAAGCCGTGATAACTATCGCGCACTCCCACGATCTCGCCGACCTTATCAATCCCGATCTTAAAGAGGCTAAACGGCCTAAGCGCCGTATTCGAACCGATCCACTATAACCTCCTACTATAGCCGAAGAACGTAACGCTACTAATTAGGATATACTGTTTAAGATCTAGTAGGTGGAAGAGGATCGGTATAAGGCTAAAAAAAGGGGGATTTAAGCACTCCACGACTATATCGCGAAGACAGTTAGCCTTGCTTTAAAGGATTAGTACGCCGGTAAAAAGGAAGTTAGGGATATCCTGTATACCCTTAAGACGCACCTTAAGCTAACGAACGCCGCCTAGAAGTCACTGATTAAGTAATATTAGGAGGAATATATATAAAATATTAGGCGAATACCCTATAGGCGCTAGCTAAAGGACTTTATTAAGCTATGCCGGCATACTAAGACGTACGAGGTTAACGCCTATAATACTAAGGACGATTAGATTAACGGCTATTTTAATACTATTAGGAGCATTATACCTGAATAGTCTAAGAGTAAATTTATATACCTTATATCGCTTAAGGAAAGAACCTACCTTCGATATAGTCTATCGTGGAGTAGTATACGATATAGCTTTATTGCCGCTACCCGTATCGACTCGATAAGAAGCCTAACGTATTATCCTTTTATACGATAACCTTTTTAGGTAAGGATAAAGAAGGTAAGGATTAGCCGGTATAATGGGGATAGTAGGGTAACTAATAGTCCTCTCTAAAGAAAGAGTGGTTATACGACTACCGTATTAAGAAAAGGGGTAAATATAATTATAAGCCTCTATAGAAGTGCTTAAACGTTAATAAGGTATATAGGAAGAAGGGATACACACCTTTAAAAGAGATCTTAGAACGCGTTAACTGTAATATTAAGACCTGGGATAATAAACGCTAACAGAGATTCCGGGAGAATATCGAAAAGGACGCTAAAAGCCTGAAAACGGGTGCTAAAAAGGACTCTGAGAAGTTATAGCCGAAAGAATCGTCAACGGAGGTATCTAATTTTATCGATAACCAGGACAAGGATTCCGATAAGGAGTCCTATAGGATATATTCCCTCCTATAAATACATAACGTAACGGTTAGCAGTAACCTCTTTAATCAGCTACTAATCGACTCCGGCACCTTAAGGTATATCACTACCTAATAATACCTGCTATAGGACTTTAAACCTGCTATAGAAGAGTATCGTTTTTAAACGGGTAATAGAGAGACTAAGCTAGTTAAGGGTTATAGCAGGATATAATTAGAAGTGGACGACGAATATAGTAATCCCTTCGTTTTAGTGCTAAATCGCGTTACTTTTATATGAGACTACCTAATAACCTTAATCGCGACTAGAAGATTAAAGGAATAGGGCATCGTTGTTGATTCCGGCCTCGAAGTACTGAAAATAATCTCTGGACAGGGCTTATTAGCCTTACCTCTTAATAAGGTTAACGATTAATACGCCTTCGTTCTAACAGATCGCTAATAGCACCTACGAAGTAGCTTCTTTAATAGCTCCACAACGCCTACTATAAGCGTGGCTAACACTCATTTATAGCATAAGAGACTAGGGCACGCCGGCGCTGCTACCCTTAAAAAGATAGGGAATACCCTCGCCGGTAGCGTTATTAAAGGAAAAGGTCCTCTTATAGTGGACTATAAGGCCTACGCCCTTAGTAAGGTTAGGAGGCTAGTATCGAGGAGGCTAACCACGTACCGGTCGACGAGGCCGTGGCAGAGGGTAGAGGTTAATTTCTTTAGCCTTAATGAGGCCTATAACGGTATAAAGATTACTGCCCTGTTTTTCGATGTATGCATGTACTAGATCGTTATTAGACTCCTACGTAACGCTAAATTAGCACTCCAGATAATAGCAAACTTTAAGTTCTTCTTATAGCGATAATATAGCCTAAAGAGTACTATAATTCGCTTGGATAGGGAAAGATCCCTTTATAAAGGCCTTAATAAGTGGGCTAAAGTACGAGTATCTTACTAGAAAGGTCTACACCGCACACGGCTGCCTAAAGTCCTCGAGCAGAACGCCACGGCGGCGTTATCTTTACTACTACGAGGACCCTTATAACGGCCTCAGGCATTTAATAGAATATATAGCCAGAGATCCTCGTTACTATAGTATATCTGTATAACCTTATTCCGTATAAGGACCTTAAATAAAAGTCTCTAAAAGAATAAATAAAAGATTAGATTAATAAATAAGGCCTGAAGAAGGTCCTCACGAAGCTAATCATTAGCCACTTAAAGAGATATAGTTATAGAGCCTATTCTCTAACCGCTAACTACTAACGAGGTCGTAACCTTAACACTAAGTTAGCCGAAAGAGTATATATCGGCTATTTAATCGGTTATGAAAGTACTAATATATACCGGATTTAAGTGATAAAATTAGGGAGGATTCTGCGCACAAGAGACGTTACCGTTCACGAAAAACTCTTATATAAAGATCGCGATATAGAGCCGCCGGTTACCGAAAAGGTCTTTGAGTAATTAAATCTACCGGTGGATTATTAACTCCACGATCCTCTCGCTGCTACTATTAACGTTAGCGATCTTCTACTTTAACCACTACTAGAGCAGAATACTATAAGGGAGGCTATAGCAGAGGTTGCTACTACTGCTACTGCTAGTGCTTCTAGGGGGGTGGATAGAGGTGTAGGTTTAATACCTACTACAGAATTGGCAGAAGAATAATAATAGCAGGAAAATTAACTTGCTGATCAGGAAGCACGTGGAATAGGGTAAATAAGCCCTATAACGCCATCCACGCCTTTAGCGGCACCTGCTTTAACGTCTTCTATAATTACACCTATAATTATGCCTTTAACGGCACCTACTTTCCTTTCTTTAATAACTATAAATAGCCCTCCTACACCACTAACTAGAATTATAGATATGCCGCCTGTTTTGAAACGATCTGATAAAGATTAATCTAATAATACGGCCGTAACCGGTGATGCCGTCAAGATAGGATTATTATGCCCTAACTAATCGGTTTTTAAAGAGGAATTAACCACTACTACCACCGCCGTTAGTCCGGTATCCACGGCTCCTGCTAAGTCTTTATAACCCTTTTCTTCTTCTACCACTACTAACTAACCTTCCTCTTCTACTAGTAGAAGAAGCCGCCCTCCTATTATTCCGACGGCCACTGCCGACCGGCCTGCCCGTATTAGGCGTCTAACCGACCGTTATACCTCTCCTTTCTTTTATACCTTCTATAACTAGATTAAGATACCGAAAAAGCCGCTACTACGCCGCGATATACCTAAGAAACCTCTAAACTAGTCTTAAATACTAAAGACTCTCTATAAATTAGAATGGATTAAAGCCGCCTAATAGGAGGTCGGCACGCTTAGGTCTATAGACACCTTTAAATGGTGGGAATAGTCCCTCTAGCAGGGGCACGGCTCGGGACTTTCTGAATTAGTTCTAAGGCTACTAGACCTTAAATAGGTTCTTAAGTATAAGGTCGATCCTACTAGTTACGTTAATAAGTTTAAGGCATGCCTATACGTTTAAGGGGATTAATAACTAAATAACCACCTTAAGGCCTACGCCTCTACCCTCGCTACAAGGACCTTTAGGTCGCTAATAGGTATTATAGCCTACTTCGATCTCAAGACTCGGTAACTTAACGCCGTTAACGATTTTATAAATACCCTGCTTAATAAGGAAATCTATA